TTCAATGAGATTTAAAAAAAAGGGACTCAAATGGGGAAGTATGCATAAATTTAAACAACTTAAGTCCACCTGAAGGTTTTGGGGGAATAAATCGAAAAGAAACGTAAGTGGTAGCCAACTGTAACCAAAATAGAACACCAAAGCATTGAAAGGTCGTTGAAGTAGAAAACATGTAGGAAAATTAAGTTAGAACGGCCATGTGAACAGAGATGTAAGGAATCCTTCTAGAGAAAGGGAACTAAAGCAATGTGAAGGCATATATAGAATGAGAATATGACAATATAAAATTTATTTTCAATTCGATGGCTTTAGTAATTTGTTGGGCCACTTCCATAAGTAGAGTTTCGATAGTGATACAAGCTGCTTGCGTATTCAGAGTTGGTGTCATGATAAACAGTACCCCGTCGCTCATCCTCTAGAAGTTCTTTGACCTCCCAGTTATTCTGCTTGACACCGACGGAGAATTCAAGATCTTCTTTCGTGATGGAATCCCAATACTATCCGAATGTTAGCAACCAGGTCGATAATAACAGAGGGTAAAATGGGAAGAAAATGGCAAATTAGCATACCTTGTACACCATCATAACTGCTAGAAGATTACAAATAGCTGCAAAGAAAAGGCCATCCAGGTAGTGTTGAACGTTTTCACAAATGGTTTCGCTGAAGACATATAAAACCACCTGCCCGATGATGAAAAAGAATGTGCCAAAGGCGATGTGGCCCAGAGGCCATCGATCATGTAAAGTATTCACGACAAGAATAACTTGCATCACTATATAGATGACCAGGCAAATTGCATTCACAATATACAAGACCACGAAGAGTCCGGCGGTACTCGTCGGTGACAGACCAGCCCATCCCTTGAAGGTTAGGAGGGAGATGGCGAACGAAATAACGAACATTCCCAGCGACGCTAGTCGAAGAAGCCAGACTGATAGCGTCGTCCCATCCTCATAGAGCTGAAATCCCACAAACCCATTGATGAGCAAGCAAGTACAGAGGGCGGATGTTAAACCGTTTTGCACAGCGGCAAAGTAGGCGAAGACGACATTTCCAGGGGGAACAGCGCCGGAATCAAGGACAAGTGAAAACATCGTCAAAGCCATGTAAAGGTAGAAGAACGTGATAATTTCCTTTCGACCTAAAAAGGAGTCAAAACCCGTATTAGAGTTCAATCTTCTCCTGGATCATCCCAGTGTCAATTTCCGGAGAAGCTCCATACGTACCCACAGCCGTAAATTTAGACCGGACATGGATTACCATGATCACTGTCATTGCCAAAGCAGCAATATGCGCAACGTCGGTGGCTCCTTGAAAAATGATTGTATTTGCGACTTCAATATTCCTGGCATAGCAGTTGGCTAGAAAGCCCCGGCCGCTGCTTCTCACGGTGGACGGAGGACCGACCAAAGAGCATATTGGGATGGATGCCTTGCGGCATATGAAATCAAAGTCACCGAAGCCCATTATGTACGGAGATCGGACTGCGAACTCGCAGACGGATGTGTACCTTAGTCAGGACAAAGGAGGTAGGGTATATCGGCGTTTGCGAAGATGTCGAAGCGAACGAAAAAGCGGGGGAACAGAGCAGAATGGCAAAAAACAGAGACGGTCAGAATCCAAGGGTCATTGCGCCCGGATTACAGTCTTTACGACTTAGTTAAATACGCCCTGTCAATAATAATGAAGGACGATGATGGTAATGAACGACAGCGATAGAAAACTGTAGGTCAATTAGCGTTGGCAGGACGATGTTTCAAGGTTGACGTTGGAAATTGCTCTTTTGGGGCTGGGCCTGAAGAGGCTGACAAATACTGAGTCTAGCGGGATTGGGCTTAGCGCGGATCCTCAAACGCAACCGGGAATCTAAAAATAAGTAACTATTCCCAATATGGACTAGTGTCTCGAATGTTTAAAATGACTTCGAAGCAGAAGGAAAAATATTATCATAATGTTGATAGATGCTCATGGTGTCAATCCCAAGTTTCCCTCTTCTTCCGTGATAAATTTGGGGTTCCTTGTTTCTAATGATTGTCACCTTGAGTACGGAGTATGTTTCTCTCCTTTGTTCCAATACGAATTCGAGTCATTTCCGCTAGGTCTCAAATAATGAAGGACCACGCTCCGACCCTGCAGGTGCTACTATAGCCAAGCCTTCAAACGGCTAAACATACATAACAACGCCTTTTGTTTCGGCTTATCATCGTCAGCACGCTGTAGATCCCCCCCAAGGGTTTGACACCTTGACATCACTCCTCCTGGTAGGAAGGAAATCCCTGTCTTTGATCTGGGCTCGACGCCTGGACCCCTCCGTTGCTCTCCATGCCTTATGGAGTTGTATTAATCAGTCTTAGTTTGACCAGGTATCAGTATACACGTTTGAGCTTCTGGAACAACTAGGGAACTCGACGGATCCGTTTTGACATCTTTAGAGCATGGCTTCTTTTGATGCTGTTCGTCCGGATAGTTGACCTAGCCGACTTCGGTAGTCGTTCATGTACTGTGCCATTGATTGCCATATTTATCAATTTCATTCGGCCTTTGCACATTTGACTTTCACATTTGCTGATGCAACGCCCCGTCAACACACTTCGCGCAATGCTTTGCATATTTGGATTCCTGCCCCGAGGTTTCAGGTAAACTTAATTTACTGTCAGAGTCAATGAAATCTCCGGTCTTTAAACGTCCTAGATAGCAGGAATACATTGCAGATCTCCTATAGAACCAGTAATGCAAGCTATCCTGAGCCCTACAAGGTTTTCTCGTTTCCATTGCCCGATAATTTCTTTTTGTTATTCGTGCCAGAATAAATAAACAGCCACTTTTCTCTTGTGGCTCCCCTGACATATCCTTGGATCGTCAATCCTTAGCCTTAGCCCTTCTCGATCGTCCACAACCCTTGCTGAATCGACTGGGAGATAGTTTTACTCTGTCAAACTCTCGAAGCTTCATATTGCTTTTTTCAACAAACTTTCAGAAATATAACTACGTTATCCTGGTTAATCCCGTGAAGATTATCGTTCTTGTTTGTTGCTAGAAGGACTTTTGGGACCACCTTGAGATGTAACCAAGTTGCACCCTCGCGCTCAATGCATCTATAAGACCCTACCAAGCGAGAAAAGTATGTCCTCAAACATCCTCTTCTGCGGGATATCTTTCCTTTTCCTTTTTCTGTTCTGTTCTGTTCTGTTCTGTTCTTTTTTTAGTTTTATTACCGTTGCTATTTCTATCAAATCGTCCTTAGCTCGCTGAAAATTTAGGTTGGGCCAAATCTCTCTTTGGTAATACTTGAGAGAGACTTTCAATTGACTAGAGGATGTGAAGTTTTAGCTCGCCTCAGCCCTATCAAACCTATTGCAATGTGCAACTTCTTCAAAAATTTTTACATCTACAGCGCCTGTCGGGATCCAGGAAACCATTTCTTCCGTATTTCGACCGATGGTTCTAGCGGGACGCGATGCGATGGGAGCCCCCACGAAAGATTTATCGTGGTTGTCGGCCAATGTCGTCTTTGCAAACTCTAGGATTCAAACCATTTTCAAGTCCACTTCATTACCATCCGCTGTTATTTGGGATAAAGAAACACTATTACTGAGGACGGCGTTTAATTTTCAAAATCGATTATCTAGGTATGGCAGACTTTCGCGAATCATGAACCTATCCAACTTCTTATCTGTCTTCCCTTTATCTCTACTTTTCTTTTATATATATATATTTTTCTCTTAGCCACTTGATACAATTGAGGAACGTTCCTCGGTTATAACATACCAAATTTTCAAGTTATTTAGCCCATGACTTATCAATAATCACGGTGCATGGGTTAATATTGGTTTCTAAGCAGGGATCTCCTTGTAATCGTTCACGAACTATTTTTCTATTTCATTATCGGGTATACATTGTGGGGCGTTACCACGGACTGCAAAGTCCTGCTGTGATCATTCGCTGGAATTTAAATTTCTTTTATAATTTTGTTTCTAGGGGCGTTATCAAGGGAAATGATGGCGGGGAATCGGTCAGTGAGTTCCTTGGATTTCTCGTCTTGAGTGATTTACACTGGATCGCCGAAATTCAGGGCTCAAGCTTCATGTGCCAACGAATGAAAAGTGATGGGGACCAGCATAATAACACATACTTGGATTTGGCTTCATTCATTCCTATTTACTGGCAATAGCCATTTTGGTGGCATAACCCGTCTTTAAGATGTCAAAGGCACGTTTGTATTCGTACTGAATTCGCCTTCAGGTGTTGGATGATGCCAATGATCAAGCAATCTCATATACTTTATCGCCCTTGCTGCCCCTCCCCAACTCGTGATTTCCATTCCCTGCAAATACCCCAACCATAATTGCTCGGCTCATGGCTGGCATTTAATTGGAACCAATTCTTGTCGCTTAAAAACCCTGATATCCAATTGCGCAGCCGGAATCCTGATCAACGACAGGGAAGCTACCGAATCCGCTTTCAAATGGAAATAGTTAGAATACATTTCTCCTCGCCCAGTATACTGACTAATATGCTCTAACAGGCTATGATCCCAATACCGCTATTCTTTACGACTTGAACAAGGAACGGAAACCTTCCTTTCCCTGCCCCAACACGCTTATATATAAAGTAGACAACCCTGTCATATACTTGTACTCGATTCCCGTATTATGTGCGACTGGGGAAAGAGCCGTTGGAAAAAAAGAAAAGTAAATGAAAGGCATCAGATGTGCGAAACGAACCGAAGGAAGGGGAAAAAAAAGAGCAAAAACAGCAAGACGTTTTGAATAGTTTCCCGGGGGCTTCAGCTTGTCCGAGAAAAAGCGAATTCACACGAAATCGAATGGGTGACACACAAAGTGGAAGAGGAAGGCATCGCGAAAATGTGTAATATGTGGGGTTGGAAATAGAACTTGGACATATTTAAAGCATTATCCGACTCAATCTGCTGTTTTTGTTCATCGTTCCCAATATAAATGATATTTGACGTTCTTGACAAAGTGATTGATACAAACACAAATTGCAGAAACCTCTAGCAATAATCCAAAAAATATCAGAACCACTTAGCCTCAAACCGAAGTTATATTCTGGAAGGTGAGGTCCATGAATGTTGTTTCATATTGCAAGCCCCGGTAAAGCCCCATCTGGGACCCGCGAGTCCTCCGAAATGGAGGAATCTATATCGCTAGGTGGTGGCTTGGGAATATCAGGGTTCGAATGGGTTTGGTGCTGGTTCTTGACCTGTTGTTGCAACACCCAACTCGTAGTGGTTTTGAAGCGGGGAGGTTCCGTATCTTCTGTGAATACCGTTGCTGCATCGTTGTCTTCGGCTCTGGGTGCAGAGTGTAAATGCTTTGGTGTAAGCATAGCTGAATTTGTGTACGTGTTTGTTGACGGTGTATTTGTCCACGAAAATTTGGATGTGAAGACCGGAGGTAGAATATTATGGGTGTTCCCATTTTCATGGCCCTGTGCAAGAAGGGAAGACCTGTTAGAGTCGACGGTGTGAGCCTTGGTGAGAGGCTGTATTTCCTCGTAGGCTGGCACTACTTTGGGGAGTCCAAATGCGGAATTGCGTACTCGTAACACAAGAGATTTAGGTCTGGCATTGATGTGGGGGATGCTTGACTTTTTGCCAGTGAGGACTTTCCGAAGTATAGAGGAGTGCTTTTCTTGGGAGTTGCGTAGTTTCGATTTGAGAGGCGGTTCAGATGGCTTTGCAAATCCTGATGCTGGATCCCAGTCCGGTATACCGTCCTTATTCATGATATTTTTTTCCATATGAAGAGTTTTATAGTCCGCATTGACAAGGGTGTCTTGCGAGGCAAACCCAAGATTTCGACGCAGGCCTTGATATCGATTATAAAGCCCTCCAGGTTTCTGGCGTCTTTTAGACCTTATTATCATACAGGTCGCAAAAAATATAATAATGATTGCGGCAACTAGTTGCAAACACATGTTAAATGAAAACATGCTAAACTCTCACGGGCAGAATTCTTAAATTTACTTACCTACTATCCCTGTTATTAAAACTGCTATGTGCGCAGGATTCCTAGCAAAACCGCCTTTGGAGGGAAGTGGGATAATGGCTTCAGAGCCCAGAGTTGCTCGTGAGCTGGCTTCTGGTCCTACAGTGTGGGTAGGGCTGCCTCCACCAAGCAGTATTCCGCCACTGGATGTAGTTGGCTTGGGCTGCTTTTCCTCCTCTTCCTTGCCCTCATCCTCACTGGTGTTGTCACCATCATTATCCCAATCGTCCTCGTCATCCTGGCTTTCTTCGCTGTCAGTCTCAGATTCAACTTCCTTTTGGCGCTTTCTAACAATTTCCCTCTTGCTCTCGAGGTTAGGTGAATTTGATTCCGGTTTGCATGCACCGAGATGCCGTCTGTCTATGTTTCTATGTTTTGCTTTGGATTTTCGGTACATAAAAAAACTTTCAACATCATCCTGTAGCCCCTTTTCGGCAACATCGTTTGCCGGAGAAGACTTATTGCAGCCATTGGCTCTGGATCTCACATTGGAAGATGGTAGTTTCCCGAGAGTGTTTCCTTGGTCGGTAGTAGACCCAATAGAACCAATTTTTGCGTGTTGAATTACAGAAGGCATCGTTCTGGCAATCGTTGACCTTTACCGCTTAAACCAGCCGAGAGAATATGTGTGGTTAAGGGCAGACAGCAAACCACAAACAGCAGATAGTATGGCAGTCACTTTGACCCGATAATGACGACACGGCTTGAAATCGAGGTAAACAGACCAGCTGCCTAAAATATACTGCGACCTGAGGACAAACAAATCCTGGGAGGTGAACGGAAAAGTTTTGAATCGAGGTTTATAGAACACAATTGGTGGTAAACGTCCAAAGTAAAGCTCTAGTTCCGCTGAGAACTCAATCCTTTGAACAAGAAGGTTGGAAGAGCAACCGACTTCAGATGCAATTGCTGACGGATGCAGAGTGAGGATTCGGCGTCATATAGTCTTTTCTTTCTGCTGCTTTCGTATCCGATTGACCTTGTTCCCGGGAATATGGAAATTTTGCTGTTGTTCCTCTTTTGCTCGAAAGTCGTCCGAATCGAAGAGAAAAAGGTAAAGGAGCAAATTCCAAAAATTGGAAAGATGAAATATTTAGGTATCCCAACAGGTGATGGAGAAAATATTGTCTAGACCAGCTCTGGGATGGTGCTGCAAGACATGACAAAATGCCCCCTTGCGGGGAACCTTGGATACAGCCACCGTTAGGGATCAACTGAGGAGAAATGACAACCAGAGAAGCCAGTTATCAGAGACATTGAAGGAGTAAAACAAGGAGTTATGCAAAGTCTGCGGCTGGTTCATGTTAGAGAATACTCCTGTTTGAATGGAATCCGATCTCTGGATGGAGCACTCATGCCATTCAGAGTTTGAATCTATAAACGTATGGAGATCGTTGCTATCATTTCTGAAGATACCGATGGAATGTATATCAGCTCTCAGCCCATTTGAATTGAACAAATATACTTTGTGGTACGAAAAGGGAGCAGCTTTCAACGCCTGATCAGATCTGTTAATCGTCGACGTAATCATTACCAAACTCTGCGCCTCCCAAACACTCAGAGTCACGAAGGCTGAAATCAAGAAAGATGTCTTTGCAAAAAGGATTTACAATCCAATAGGAGAACTCATTGAGACGGCAATTAGGCTTGTTGCGTATCGCTAAGATTCACCTCGGACGTTTCAGATCTGGAACCGAGTCACAGAGTGTCGCGCGATTGCATACCCCACTAGAAGCTCATCAAGCCCCAGGGTCTCAAACAGTTCGTGTTTAAGAAAACTCGACACCATTATACCTGAAAGTCGAATTCGTCGTCGCAAAAGCATTTTCATTTACTCATATTTTCGTTATCATTGTTGAAGTTGTAGGGTTTGGTCTAACAATCTACATAGTAACTTGGTGTAATACAGTTAACTAGGGCATCCGCTATCACGTGGGAAATGAGCTCATACATATGTTGGGTCTGGATTCCACTTGACTATCAGCATGGCGCTGGTGGTGATTGAGCTCTTTTGCCCCAGTAGCCTAACATCATGCAGAACGACTCAATAGCACCTAAGTCTCTCTCTACAAGGAAGTGACTCTTCGCTCTCAAGAAAAACTTTGTATAAGAAAACCTTTGCACAATATATATTGCTCCTTTGTATATATTCTTAATTCTGTCTAACCTTTGAACGGCATTGTTTTGCTTGGGTATTTTGGTTCGCGAGTCATACAATAAAGCTGGAGTAATGTTAGTAAATGCTAACAGGATAGCAAGTAACCAACCATTTTATCATGTGTTTGCGTTGGAATAGCAAGCAACTTTTAGATTGACAAAGGGGATGTAACAAATATTAAAAGGACATCGAAGCGAGGGTACGAAAATGGAAGATTCGTTCATGGCGAAGACCGAGAAAACCGCTCACCTTGCAAACATCCTCCCCATCATGACACTCCATTTCCTTCGCAAATTTGAACCCCATACGGCCATAAATTTCTAAATTCGGTACTTTCTTAGAGCTTTCCAAATAACACTTCATTCCTTCCTGATCAGCCTGGTCCGTGACAATCTCGACCAGTTTCTTTCCAATACCCTTTCCACGCGCATCGTCCGCAACCGCAATCACATTGCAAAAGTAATAGCCTCGGGAATCATTCCAGATTTCGCTTTGGACAGCATTTTGAGCATCCTTCCAAATCCA